AGGGCAGTGTCACTGGCCCTCATATGTGGGATCCGAACCAGGGCCCTCTGGCGTCCCAAGCCAGCTCTTAACCAACGCGCCACTTGGCTGGCCCATAAGCCTGCATCTCTTAACTCTTAGGCCATGCTATGCTGTATGCAATGATATATGTGACAGCCAGTGGCCCAGCGGACCCCTTCTGTCCTGGACTGACAAATACTTTGACAATCAGGAAGTCCCAAGGAGTCTGCTCCCATGGAGACAGGGTGGCAACACGGGGCAAGGATCAAGGTCTGCGGGTGGTTAGGAGCCTGGTCCCAGGCCCGGCCCTGCCATCTACCCACCGCGTGGCTTCGACAGGCTCAGCCAGTCAGCTTTCTCACCTATGGAGTGGGGCCCCCATATTCTTGGCCAAGGGCTGCTCTAAGCTTCTGCTCTGAGGCTGAGCACTTGCTATGTGCGGGCACTGTCCGGTTGACCGGCTTTGCTCACGTAACCCTCTGAACCCCTTGAAACTCCTCTTACAAATGGAGGCATGAGAGCATGGCGCAGTCAAGAAACATCCCTACAACAAGTGTGTGCAGGGCAGGATTTGCCATCAGGCCCAGCCACCAAGGTCCTGCCTCTGGGTAGAGTGGGGAAAGGAGTCAGGGGGTTTGTTGTTGGGGGGGGGGCAGCAGGTCTGTCTAGTGGAGCCTTCTACTCCCCCTACCCAGAACCCTCCTGCCACAGGGGCAGCAAGGGGTTTGGGTCAGACCAGAAGTCTCCAGATGCCTCCAGGCTCTAGCCAGCCTCCAACTGCTATCTCAGAAATTAGCCATTTGCTCCCCAGCCTAAGTGGCCCAGGCCTGGATTCCGTCTCACATCAGCCTTGACTGCTCAGTGCCTGCCCCGCTGGGCCCATTTGCTGGTCTCTTGCATGCAGGGTGGCTGTGAAATACTAGCCACCCAGTGTCCATTGGGGTGCTGCCTGCACTGGGAGAGGGTAGAAGCCTCAGCCCTCAGAAGATGGAGGGTTGCACAGTGTCTCTAAGCAGCCCCCAGACCTCCTTTGCTTGAGTGTGAGGTGGGAGCTATGGAATGATGACAAGCCCCAGAGGGGATCACAGGCCACAGAATGACCCTTGAGTTTCCTTGAGGCCCACAAGGTAATTGAGGGAACCCTGAGGGCCACAACAGAAACAGCCAGATCCAGAAGCCCTCAGAGGGTGGGAAAGCAGTGGGTGGGGGAAGATGACCAGAGAAAAGGCACAGAAAAGACAAAATTCATAAAGTTTAATTAAATATCTGTAATACTAGGCATCAAGTAGTAAACTGAACCCAACTCAAATAGGCATATATTAATGACTTTTAATGTGGAATGCTGGCAAAATTTCCTGTGACAGGGTGTGGGATTCAGCCTCTAAAATTCAAAATGCCAGGGGCCTGTCTATGGTCTTCAAATGTGCCATCCCAAAACGTAGATGCATCCCTCACGACTGATTTGAGATTAATTTCTACCATGTGGGGGAATGAGAAAGCAAGATAGGAATTCAGGTCAGTTATACGGAAATGAAGTGATGCTCCCCACACGTTCATCTGTGACGGAGACCCTGTCAACTCAGACACCACCGTGCGATGCCATCCTCAGCCTCTTCATCCCTGGGGGCTAATGGGACTCACCCACCCGCAAGCCCCCTCACATTTCAGCAGCTGGGCTCACCAGCCTCCCATTCTTTTTCACCTCTGAAGCAGAGGTCTGCCACCCCCTCTTCCTTCCAACCTACACGAGTTAATTCATGTGACTTTAAGGAATGAAGCCAAAGAGCAGGGTTCGAGTCCCGCCTCTCTCGGCCTCACCGTGTGATCCAATGTGGGTCCAGTCCTCCCTCTGGCCAAGTCTTGGTCTCTTGTCCATGAAATGGAATCATGATGCTGTGAGGACCAAGGAGGCCACAGCTGTGCGAGACACTACATTTTAGACAGACTGGACTGCACCGGGCTTTGACTAATAAAACAAAACCAAAGGAAAAAAGGTTTGTGTTAAACTATGCTAAACCCTGGAGCAGTGTTCCACAATCAGCCCTTCTGAGCTATGTCTGGGGAGGTGAATTTTTATTGTTCCCCAAGTTCTTTTTGCCAAAGCTCACCATCTCTTCTGCCCTAGCCAGCAGAGAGGTACCAGAGCTGAACTGGTGGAGAAGCAGGTTGGGGGAGGAGGGAGGACTGAGCAGGCTTGGCTCCTGGAGGCCTGAGTCAGCGGCCAGGCAGGCAGGGCGGGCCCAGTCCTTGCATGCTTGGGGAGATGGTGCAGGAATGTTCTTCCAGCCCGAGGCTTGGGCCCTGCCCACCACATCCTGGCTCCTGCTCTCATGGACCCAGCAGCCTTAGCTCTGGCTCAAGAGATGGGACATGCCTGCAGTTTTGTTCGGTGGCTTCAGCCAGGAGCCTTCAGAGGCAGCCTGGACCTAGGGACTGGCCCAGGGATGGGCAAGGCCAGGCCACAGAGCCTACAGGGAGGTGGGCCCTGGCCAAAGCATCTCCTGGCACACTGGGTGATGTGGCCAGCTGCCACTCCTCAAGTTCCTCGTCTGCAATAAAGAGCTGAATGTGATGGTGCCGGGTGATGGATGACCCCAGCTGGCTCCCCCAAGAGGTGCAGGTACAGTCCTGGTGCAGCTACACGTGACATCTTTGCTGTGTGCATGTGTGAGAGTACAACTGTGTGCATGGGACTGTAGTATGGCTGTGATGACATGGCTGAAGACTGACGCTGTAAATAGATGATGTGTATGGACGTGGCCACGTGTGAACATGGCTGTGAAAGTGACAGTGTGGCACAGTTGCTAGGAGTGCAGCCGCGTGAGCACATGACCGCGTGCGCGCGCGCGCGCGCGCGCGTGTGTGTGTGTGTGTGTGTGTATGTGTGTGTGAGAGAGAGAGAGAGAGAGAGAGAGAGAGAGATGCGGCCAGATGTGGCTTATGTGCCTGTAGACAGGTGGCTGTGTGTGGCTATGTCTGCTCTGGGCTGGGCAGCTACGTCTGTGACCATGTGGATGTGTGTGTGACTGTGTGAGGGGCAGTGGTGAGCTGGGCCTCGGGCCACCAGGCACCCCCAGGCCTGGCGTTGCTCTAGCTGTAGCAATGCTTCACGGCCCTCCTGTGTTCAAGAGGCGACAGCATGCAGCATCTGAGGACCGCCTTCATCCCTAACCCCCACACGTGGCCACAAAATAGACTCCTTTTCTGGGCTAGGCCAAGACTGGGGATCATGGTCCCCCAAACTCAGGTATTGGTAATTGCCCAGGGCAGCAAGAGAAGCCGTGGTTCTGCCTTACTCTCAGAGAAAAATGAGGGGAACCAGAGGTAGCTGGGCCCAGCTCAGCCTGGAACATGTGTCTAGCATGTGACTGAAGCCAGTCAGACGACCATGCCATCACCAGGACACCCCACACACCATTCCCCCCATCCCCTGCTGAAAGGGACTGTAGCCAGCCCTGACAGATCTCAAATTCCAACACCCAACCCGCACAGAGATAGATAGATACCAGAGAAAGGTTGTGACATCTCAGTCCCTGCCACACACGCTGTCTCAGCCTAGACCTCAAGGTGCTTAGAGTAGGCCTGGCTTGTCCCAAGACTTCAGGTTCTGGTTCTTCTCCTAGGTCCAAGTTCCCCTAAGAAGTGTCAGGCGGATTCCCTCACCCTGAGGACGGGACGCGTGAGAGGTGGCCCCCTCTCCAGAAAGGGATATGAGGGCATCACCAGAACAGGAAGCATGAATGGGGGCTTTCCAGGCAATGTGGGTTAAGAGCATTCCCACACGACCCAGACTGGCCTCGGGAAGGAGCTCCCCCGGCCCCTGCTGTAAACAGATTGCCCTCTGCAGAAGGTCACCTGGAGGTCAAAGCTGAGAAGTCGTTAAGGGTGGGAAGGTCCTTGAAGGGGGGTGAAAATGAAGGAAGGGGGGCAGAGAAGAGGGGAAAATTCCACAGAAAAGTCCCAAATCTGACCTAATTTTGACCCAAGGCCAAGGGCCCTTTCCAGTAGTTCCTGAGGATGCTCTGCCCCGTACAGGAAGCCTCTGCTGCCCCCTCCCCACTGCACCTGCCGCCTCTTGTCTCATCTCACTGCCACAAGCTGAACTCGGGGGCACTGGCCTGGCCAAAGCCTCCCCCGATGTCTGGACCCAGCACTCCTCCTCCACCAGGTCCCCATCGCCCTGAAAGAGCCCAGTGGCTTCACCAGCGTTCCCCTTTCCCATGTGTGAACAGGTTGCTGTTCACCCTGCCTGGGTCACCCCCAAGGGCAGGGTTGGGCATCCAGGACTGCCTGGGGCAGGACACGGTTTCTGAGCCCCAACCCCTCCCCTGGACTGGGGCCTCCCTGTGGGGAGGAGCCCCATCAATTAGATTGTCCTGGGGCCTCCTATCCTTTCTGCATCCAGCCATCAGCCATAGATCACAGACCAGCACAGCCACGCCCCCGGCAGGACTCCACCATTTGAGATTGAGGACAGTGAGGTCTGGGACGCATGTGCACCCAGCTGGGGTCCAGGGCACCCTCTAGACCCCAGCGGCACCTCCCAGCAGCACAGCCCTCCCCTCCGCTATATGAGCCTGCCATGACCTCAGGGGCAATGAGGGTTCTATCCTTCCCCCCACCCTCATCCCTTCTGGGATCCAAACAAAAAAGTCATGTTTGTGTTATCTTAAGAGATTTATCAAGAAGACAAAACAGAAAAAAGTTTCAAGCAGCAGCAGCCAGGAGTGGCCATGAACTCCTGGGGATGGGGGTGGGGTTAGCGGTGGCACCTGTCAGTCCCCCCCAACCCGCTGCTGGACCACGCCCTGGCCTGGGTGAGGAGGAGTGGCCCTCTCAAGGATGTAAACATGGGTGGGAGGCAGCACAAAGGGCCAGGACCCAGGCTGGGATCACAGTGAGGCTGGCCCTGGGCAAGTGGGCCCTGGGTCCCTGGGTGGTAGGGGGTGGGCTCCTGTTTTCTTCCCCTGGGTTCCCTGTGCACCAGGAAGGATTTTGGGATTCACAGAGGCCAAGAAGCCTGGGAGCCTGGGGATCTGAGCTTGCTCAAGTGTGAGGAGCTATTGCTGGTGAACTCCAATATCTGGTAACTTTTAGGAGCCCCCTCCAGGAAGATGCCACCAGGGTCCTGGGGTTTGTGGCTCCTTGAGCCCAGGGAAAAGATGCTGCATGGTCCCCTAACCATGGGGTGATAGGGGCTCAGCAGGTAGAGGGGAATCAGGAGTGAGTTGGCCTGCAGCCCCTCCTGCAGGGGGCTGGGGTGGGGGGCAGGGACAGGGACATGGGAGCAAGGAAGGTCCCTCCCCTGTCACACAGGCCAGAATGCCCACCGAGACAGGGCAACAAACTCGCTTGGGAAAGGTAAGGGAGAGAGGGCGGGCGTTTTCATGCCTCCACAGCTTTGCCCATGCTGTTCCTCTCTGCTTAACGTCCTCCCCATCTACCGTCCTCATCTACTATCTGACAGGTCCTTGTCATTCCTCCAAACACTGGTCAAATGTCACCTACACCGTGGAGTCTTCCCCGGCCAGCAGAATGAGTGGTCCCCTCTGTCAGCTTCCAGGAACCCCTTATTTAACATGGGTCATTCTGCATTGCCCCCTTCTGTTTCTATGTCTGACCCCCACCTCGACTGGGGACACCCTGAGGGCAGGCGTGTCGTAGCCCTGAATGTCCAGCATCGGACCCAGGACCACAGCACGCCCCAGTGTCTGCTGAGTGAAGAAGGGGGTGGTGGCCAAGTGCACAAGCTCTGGGGGAGGCTAAGACCCTGGCCTGGTCTCAAGTGACAGACCTACAGCCCAGGCCTCAGCCTGGAGGGTTCCTGGCCCCATTCTCACCCGCGCTGCGCCCCCACCTCTATGGGCTAGAGGAGTTCAGCAGGGGTATCCATGACTCTTCCCAAGCCCTAGCCGCTGCTGGTGCGGGGAGGCCCTGCAGTGCCCAGGTGGAAGGCAGGGTGGCCCCCGGCGCTCAGAGGCTGTCGTACATGCGCAGCGCCCTCTCCAGCTGCTGGCCCACCCGCTGGTAGAAAAGGATCTGCTGGCGCAGGTAGCTCTGCATCATGTGCTTGAAGTCAAGCTCACGGCGCTGGTGGAAGTGGTTCATCTCGGCCTGCAGGGCGAAGCCCACCACGCGGCAGCGCCTGCGGATGCCGTCCGCCTCGTCCTGCACCATGCGGCCCTCGTCGCTCATGCGCTGGCTCTCCTTCACTTTGGCGAAGGCGCCTAGCACAGGCAAGAGCAGAGGACAGGGAGGTTAGGGCCCTGGTCTCCCCCACTCATTCCCTAAGTCCCTTGTGAGCCCCTCAAGGGCACACAATACCTTCCTCAGCTCAGCCTCGTTCCTGGACTCCAGGTGCCTGGGTGTCTCCACCAGGATGTCCCCCAACCCTCACCTTCAGCACATCCTAAACCACATGCACCATCTTCCCTCCAAACCTGTGGCACTACCAGCAGCCCACACCTGGCCAGTCACAGCCCTGCTAGCTACATTGATTCCAGGACCAGGCTGTCCCAACCCACCATAGGCTTCATCCTCACTCATATGCTGGCTACTAATTCAGCTGAGACATCACCTTCTCCAGGAAGCCTCCCCTGCACCCCCACTTCAATAGGTGTTTCCCAGTTCTCTCAGGTGCCCTGGGCTTCCCCCTACCACAGCTCTTATCACCCTGTGGTTTCTCTGACTGCCTCCCTCTGGGCTGTGAGCTCAGTGTCTCTAGCACCCAGAACAAAGCCTAGCCCACAGCAGATCCTGATATGTGTCGGCTGAGCTGTTCCTCACTGCACAACTATAACAGGCCCCCACGGGGCTTCCCACCTCAGCCCTAGCCTCTCTGAGGTGCTCCACAGCAACTGAAGAGCACCAAGCCTTCCCTGCCTCCCCTCTCTTTCTATAGATCAAGGGCCACACCCATCGCCCAGCCTGCGAGGCCCTCTGGGAGTTGGCCCCTGCACTCATTCCACACTGACCCCATGTTCATCAGATTCACCTACTCTTTCCTCCCTCCATCTCTCCACTCGCAGGGTTCCTAATTATCAGGTACCCCGGAAGCCTCCCCCAGTGTCCCCATGCAGAATGTCTCCCCACCCCCATCACACTGCTGATTCTAAAGCACAGCCTCGAAGGCCATCTGGAGTTTCCTTTGTGTGTCTCCCCCACAGACAGGCCCTGGCCACTCCTCACTCCAGCTCTCAGGGGACTAGAGGAGGCCATTGTAATAACTAGGTGACAGATGGAGGGCAGGGGATGAACCTAGACAGGTGACCCAATTTGGAAGAATCTGAATGAACCAAGCATTTGGTGAATGGATTTCAATTCTGAATTAACAAGTACTTGACTAAGTCTGCACTGGACCACAGCGGGCAGTTGCTGAGAAGGGGATGCAGTCTGCCCTTGCCTGGCACTCACTCCTTGCAGGGCATTAGGGAATGTACTGTGCAAAGAAGAGTAAGGAGGTGCAAAAGGTCAGCAGGGTGGACAGCACACCCCCAAGCCCTTCAAAAGGGTCCACTGCACACGAATAACACGCTCATTATCCGTGCTTCCCAATTCTTTAAGAAGGCCTCTCAGGGACCTCTAAAATGTATTTTTTTTACTTTCAGGTTGTTCGATGCAGTCAATATGCATTTATTGAGCATTTACTATATACCAGGCCCAGGACTGTATATCCTGGAAATAGCTCTGGAGGCCTTTAGAAGTGGCACCACCCACATTAGTAGATAAGTGCATGGCTAATTGGCTAATACTGGCATTTCATTTCGGGCAGACAGACTCACATTTGCACAGTCTCCAGGACTGCTCACACAGCACCCAAAAGAACTCTGCAGACACCAGCTCCCAGCACACTCAGTCCTTCTGCCACCTTCCTTGGACCACCTCCTGCGTGCTGTTCCATCCCGACTGCCCACTCCTGGGCAGCAGAAATGAATCACCCCAAGGCCCGGGATGAAGACCCAATAAGAGACTCCAGAGCAGGAGAGGCCCTAGAGGCCAGTTGCACCCTCACCCCCACCCACACCCATACCACTACAATACAGGGGAAACTGAGGCCCTGAAGGGAAGGGACTTGCTAGGGGCTCCCACCTCCTTCCTGCCCCATACATGGGGGAAGCCTGGCCCAGAGGCATCCCTCCACAGCTGGAGGGGGGATACCACCTCTACTGCAGGGAGCCCTAGGTCAGGTCATCCATACATTTGTGTGGGGCCCCCAAACAACGAACTCAGGGATTTGAGAAGGTCCCAAGGGATACGGAAGGACTATAAGAAGGAAGGTAGAAAACAACAGGACAAAGAAACTGGAGTTAAGCTTTACCAAAAGGAACCTACTAGAAAACGAGACACTCACCAGCCTGGATTCCACCTGACTGAGAAAGTCTGGTGCAGTGGGGGAGGACCTGCACTCAAGAGGGTTTTTCCTGCCCATGGCCTTAGAGGAAGGAAAGGCCCCTTTTGTTGATGAGGAGACTGAGGCCGAAATAATAGGAATGAACCTATTGCAATTGCTAGGTATCCAGAGACAGGCAGATAGGCAAGGAAGCAGGGCTGGGGGCAAAGGTCACGGGGGTAAGGGGGATGACAGGACCCCCTTCATCCCCACTGTCACCTTTCCACCCTGTGACTCAGATCTGGGACCTGGACCAGCTAACACTAATGTGCCCCAGAGACAGGCTGGGAGTCAAGGCTCAGGCCTATCCACCATCCTCCCTCTGATCCACTGAAGACTCAACCTGAGAGCTGAGGACCCAGGGATGCCTCCTGCCCTGGCAGCTGTCCTAGAGGCTGAGTCCCAGGAACAAGGAAAGGAGGGCTGAAGCTTCAGAGCTCCACGGTCCCAGGCATAGTCCCTGAGCTCCCACCTTAATCCACATTGTTCCCACCTCTTAGGGGTTGTTACCACCTCTTAGGGGTTGTTACCATCTACCCCAGGTTGGGGGCCGGAGGTCTGAGTCCTAGTCCCAGCTGTGTCACCTCCAGCAAGCCACTGCTCTTGGCTGGTCTGCAGGTCTCCCCAATGTCAAATGGGACAAGTTGGACTAGATGTGATGCTACTGACAACTGCTCGTAGCAGTATGGTACTTTAGCTTCCACATCTTTAAAATGGGATAATAAGAGTACCTACCCTCTAGTATAGTTGAGGTTTGATTTAACTAATATCTATAAAGCACTTAGGACGGCACCTGACAGAATGCTACATGCAGCTGAGTGCAAACTGCTTTTCAGTCACAGCAAGAACCTCCTGGTGGTGGCTCCTGGCGTTATGATTATCTTTGTGGAAGCCTAGGAGGGACGGTAGAGGGAGTTAGGTGATGGCCCAGAACACAGAGGACCTACCTGTCCCTAGGCAGGTGCCTGGCCTGCAAGGGCCGGCTACTTTGCCTTGGCAACCTGGGAGTTCCATGGCCCCTCCAGGCATGCTCTGTGGTCCTGTGCCTACCTCCAGCCCCCCGAGGATGCCAGCCAAGTTAGTGCTAGAGCACCCAAGCCTCCCTCCGTCCTCCCCGCCCAGCTCATCCACCCAGGCAACCATCCTTGGGGGGAGTCCCTTCCCCACCTGTCGGGCACAGTGGACACAGCCTGGGCTGGAGTCAGACACACCAGGGCTCCAATTCCTGCTCTGCTTACCCTCCCACCTCACTGCACCTTGTGTAAAATGGAGAGGACCACACCGACCTCCCTGGCTGGCTTTCATGTAAGGGCTCTAGACAGTCACTGTTTCCCCTTGTTGTCCCAAGGTAACTATTACTAGAGCCCCCTTTTACTCCCAAGATTGCCCTGAGCTCTAGGGGCTGCGGCCAGTGGGTGGGCAGGCAGGTGGGCCTCATCTCAGCACCAACTGGACTCCATATGCCATTTTGCTAAGGTAAACACCAAGAAAACTCTCTCAAGGTCACCTCAGACGCAATGTTTGTCCATATCCTGGTCTCCTGACCCCATCTAGGCCTCCCAGCTCTTTCCTTCTATGGCCTCCCCCCACACACTTGCTATCTGTCAGATGCCTGGACAAGCTGGACAGTATCCTGGAGACCCAACCTTCCTGCTCCTTCCTCTGAGAAAAGGCTCCACCCTGGGGGCCAGCATGGGACCCCTCCTCCCTCCAGCAAGCTGTGGGCCCCCAAAGCCTGCCCAAATCTGCCTCAGCCAGTTTCCAAGGCCCCTCCCTAACTTGTCAGACCACAGGCCTAGGAATGGCAGTGCAGAGCCCAGGAGAAGAGTAAGCCCAAAAGGGCTTGGGCTATGGGGAGGGGTCCTCCGGGTGAGGGAAGGTGGGCCAGCCTCTGCCTAAGTTTGAATGCATCACCCCAGAGGACTGTTGGTCTCTCACTTTTAGAAACAACTCAAATGAAAAGTTAGAAATGGCCTCTTTCAGCTTTGTTTCCCTGCCCCAGGGTCAGAAAGGCCAGTCTGACTTCATTCCCTCCTGCTTCAGTGTGAGTCTAGAAGCCCTGGGTATGCGGCTGCCTTCCTAGCCCCAGCTCTGCCCTGGTGAAGGTCCCCAGCCATCCCAGGGGGCAGCTTAACCACTGTGCCCCGGCTTCCCCCTCCCGCTGCCCACATAGAAACACGCCATCCAAGGAGCTGGTTGAACCAGCTTTCCCAGGCCCTATGCAGTGGGCGTGGCTCCACTTCCACACCAGGGAGACACCTGCCCCAGAGCTCAGAGCTAGATCTCAGGCATCACTCTGTCCTCAGCCAGACCCTCCCCGACCCTCAGGCCTAAGAACTCACTGGGTCCATTCTCCCTGTTTTATAGATCAGGAAACTAAGGCCCAGAGAGGAGAAGGCACTTCCCAGGGACACACAGCAAATTGGGGCAGAGCCAAGACCAGAACTCAGGTCTCCTGTCTCCTGAAGCTGAAAGAAGAGGGAAGGAGGAGAGGAATGTGGCGATAAGAGAAAAGGGCAGAGAAGAGGAAGAGGAAGAGAAAGTGACAGGAGAAAGGAGGCTGGGAGCTACAGGAGTCCTAGCCGCCAACCCAGTAAAGGACAGGGCTGGTTTACTCCAGACTTTCCTGGGTACCAGGTGGGGGGGGGGTGTTTGCTGACCCCCAGGCTCAGTCCAGAGGCCTGACTCCTGGCCCCCACCCAGAGGAAAACTCCTCACCAAGCTAGGCCTGACCTCAGGGCCTAGGGGCCAAGGAGCCAGGCCCACGCCCTGACGTTCTTCCTGAGTTACCAAGCAGCCCCAGGGAGGACCACACCTCTCTCCTGACATCTGCCCTGCCTGTTGTCTCCAGGACTCAGCCACCTGCCAGGTCATGTCAGCCCGATTCACTGTTCAGGCAAGAACAGCCAGGCTGGGGAAGGGGGTGTGGGGTGGGCCATGTGCCCCTGTACCCCTGGTTCCTCCACCCACCCAGTCTGGTGCCCCTCAGTGACCGGGGATGAGTCACTTCCCTGGCAGTTCCTTGACAGCCCCACAGCAACAGATAGGGGCCCATCCTGTCCCTCCCCCACGGAGGGGCCGTGAGAACTGAAAACACAGCCAGGCTTGGGAAGTGGCCAACACAGACGTGTCCTTGGGGAGGCACATGAGGAAGGAATAGTCCCAGCTGAGCCATGGACTCCCTGTGAAACCACCCTTCTGTGGACACCAGCTTCTTCATCTGCAGAATGGGGACAGCGACCCTCCCCCATACAGATCGGGAACTCAGAGATAGGACATGCAGTGGTGAGAACAGGCTCTGCAGGGAAGTGAGCTGGTGAGGCCACACTGTGCCCCAATTATCTGGGTCTGTATCCATGTCCCCCGGGAGCCTGTGGGCTCCTCAAGGGCAAGGCCTGGGCCCTGGTCACCTCCATATACCCAGAACCCAGCTTGATACCTCGGAGGCCTCAGTGTATAATGGGTAAATGAGAAAACGAGACAGAAACAGAAAAAACAAAGGGAGGAACACGACAAAAAGGTAAACACGAGCGCCACGAGGCTGGGGACCAGACCTATTCACAATATCCCCGCACCTAGAATAGCAGCTGCCACACAGTAGGTGCTCAACACATTTGCTGAATGAGTAAGACAGAGACATAAAGATTAGATGAGCTGCCCCATTCTGTGGGCTATTCGTGTCCCCGCATCGCAGAGCGCAGACTCCGCAAGATCTCCAGCCCGCACTGGCCCTTACCTTTCTGCAGGTGGATAATGTCGGGGAAGTTGGACAGCAGGCCCTGATACAGAGACAGCATGTCAAGCATCTGGAAGAGATCGTTCTTGGGCTGCTCAGCGAACATCTCACCGACGGCTTCATAGGTACGGCCCGTGTGAGAGATGGCGCTGTTGAGGGCCTCAGAGCTGAAGGGGGGGTCCATCTGGAAGGCATGGCTGATGGCCTGGAAGGCATTGCCCAGCTTCTGGAATTCCTTTCTGAAGCCACCCACATGCTTGCGCACCAGCTCCGATGCTACAGTGCTGAGCTGCAGGACGCTGTCGTCCATCTTCTTGCTGAAGGCCTTGAACGTGTCCACACGGTCCTCCACGTCCTGCAGGTCCTGGTGCTCTGTGGGGATCTGGAAGGTGAGCAGGAAACTGGCACCCACCATCTCGTCCTTCTCCGCCCGGCGTTTGCCCATCTTCCACTGCTTAGCATCCAGGCAGCTGAGAAAATGCTGGAACCCCTCGTACTGGGACAGCACAGGGTGGCTGGTCATATGGTCCATCCAGAGGATGAGCCTCCGCTTCCGCTTCTCGATGAAGTCCTCCTCGAAGCGGCCTGTGGCCTGCTTCTCTGGCAGGTGGGGCACCGAGATGACAGTGAACTTGTGAAGCAGGCGGTTATAAAGCCAGTCAAAGTGTTTGTAGCGCCGGTAGACAGGGGAGCCAATGTGGGTGGGTGTGAGCTTGTAGGAGATGTAGCTCTTGATGCCCTTGAATTTTGTCTGTTTGGTGGGGTCCTCCACAGAGCAGGAAAATGGGTGGGGGCTGGCCTTCCACTGGGGGCCACGAGGGCCCATTTCAATGGAGTATGTCTCGGCGATCTTGGCCATCATGGGAACATCACCCAGGATGAAGGCCTCTACGCCCGAGCGCACGAAGCATGAGAAGCGGTTAAGGTTGCGCCCCACCACACTGCCCCGCTTGGCAGATGCCAGGCTGTCCTGCCGCTCCAGGGCTGCCTTGGGCCGGAAGGCCATGTGCTGGCTGGGGTAGGCACCAGGGTAGGAGAGGTTGAGCGGGGGGTGCCCATTGGTGCCCAGCTCACCAGCCCGTGGCTCCTCCACCACTGTGCATCCATCATCCCAGTCATCCCAGTCATCATCATCGTCTTCCTCAAAGCTGCCCTGGTTTGGGAAGAAGCCACTGCCCTCAGCACTCCTGGAAAGGTTAGCCACATTGGATCTGTCATACAAGCTCACCTGGGTGCTGGGAGAGCCTGCAGGGCTGGAGCTGGGGCCAGAACGAATAATCTCCACATAAGAGGCAGGGAAAAGCCCTGTCTCACCACGGCTATTCTGGCCCTGCAGCCAGCCATCCAGCGAGGTCTCGCTGAAGATGACCAGGTCCTCATCCTGCTGGATGCTGATTTCCTCCTTGTTCTCGCTGCGGAAGTCATAGAGGGCTCGGCCTTTTAGTGCCATGGCTGGGCCAGTGGTAGAGAAAGATGAGGAGAGGGTCCTGCCCAGAACTGGGGACACTTGCTAGGGTGTCCAAGAATGCACCAGCAAACCAAGGACTGCCCAGCAGCTCGGTCTCTCTGCCCCTAAGCAAGTCTCAGCACCCAGAGATGCTGTCCAGCCTCCCTCTTTTCAAAGCTGTGTCCATGGCCCAGAAACTGCCCTAGCAGGTCTCCAGGCACCAGCCTGAGGGCAGGAGGGGCTCATGTTCATAGTCTTCCTCCCTTCCCTTGGCAGCCCCTGAGGGGGGTCTCTCCCTTCTCCCACTCCCAGAAGAAAATTCAAGTGACTTGGAGAAGTCAGCTCTGAGAGGGCAAGAATTCCACTTTCCACTGGAACAACGTTCTAAAACAAAAGAGAATCACTCGCTAACTACCGTTCCAGAACCCCAGCAGCTCTGGCTCCCAGCTCCTTCTGGCTCCGCAGGCCTTGGGAGACTCTCACATTCCTCCACAGTTTTGCTCCTTCCTCCTTCCTCCTGGGCCACTAGGTTTTCAAAAATCCAGAAAATCCAAGAGGGGCAAGGAGAAAAGCAGCAGCTTCCTGAATCGAGTCCAAGGGTGGATGTGTCCGGCTTCCCAACGAGCCAGGCCGGGAAAACAAGCAGTGAGGCTTACACAACAGGCCGCCAACTCTCCGACCCGGCGGCCCAGCGGGCCCCCAGCAAGCTCCGGCGCCTGCTCCCCGCCCAAGTAGCCAGCCCCCACCCCAGGGTAGGAGGGGGCGCAACGAGTCGCTCAGGCGACTTCTGGCGACCAACTGAGTGGCCTCTTTTGTTTGCCTAATTCCTAAGCAGTTTCTGAGCCTGAAGCTAACCCTGATGAGTCCGAGGACCCCGTCCAAGAGTATGCCCCGCCGGAGCCTCCCAGTGCCGGCGTACAGACCCCCGCCCTCGCCTGCACGCACACACTCAACAGGAGTTTGCAGAGTGAGCTCCGGCGCGCAGATGGCTCCCGCCTGGCCGTCCTCCGCTCTGGCCCGCGCGGGTCCCGCGGTGGGCGGAGGGCTGCACTCCCAGCCCGCCTTCTCGGCACTCGGAGCCCCTCCGCGCCCGCAGCAAGAAGCTAGCTCCAAAACAAAAAAAGGCGATTCCGGGAGGTGGCGTCCCAGGGAAGGAGGGAACAGCCGCTGGGGGAGGTGCGGGGTGGAGAGAGGGAGGGAGGGAGCGAGGGAGCGAAAGCAGGCAAACTCCAAGGCTCTTCCGCAAGCAGCCCGGCTGGCTGGGCAGGGATACGGCTCCGCCCTCCCCGGCCTGGAGCACCAGAGCCGTCCTGCCAGCCCCTTGCTTCTTTCCTTCTGGCAGAGGCCCTCAGATCAGGATGTGAGAGGGAGAAGACCACCTGGGAAAGAGGGCGCCAGGATACTCCAGGGCCAGTCTGCCCTCGCAGGGAGGCACCTTTCGCCCCGAGGGTCTTGAGCGCTGCGTTTCCTCCCCACCCCCACCCGGCAACCGCGACTGCCTTGTCTCCTGGGCTCTGGTCACCCTCCTATCTTTTCGTGACGCCAGGGGAGGAAAACTCCGAAAGTTTGCAAAGTGCAGGAGTGCAAGGAGGGCCCCAGAGCCGGGACAGGGGGAGAGGGTTGAGGAAGGGTGCTTGGAGAGCCACAGACACCGCCTCTGCCCCCCCCTCGGCACCCCAGCAGCTCCAGCAAGGCTAGGCTGTAGCCCAACCCGGGGACTGCGCTCTTGAGGGGGTCCCCAGAGCCAGCAGCACCCTCACGGAAAAAAAGCCTGAGTGGCCTGGGATACTGGCCGCTGAGGGTCCTGGTACTTTAGCCAGACAGCCAGGAGCGCCCCTGCCTTGAGAAACTTCCTTCATGAGGAAAAACAAAGACCCTACATCTGTAGCAACAGAGAACAAGCCCAGGCACGACCCAAACGGGTTCTGTGTTGCTTTGTGCAGGGGCGGAGGGGACTGAATGTTTTCTTTGCCACCAGCAGTGAGGAGAGAGGGATGGTGGTAGACTTTGGGGAAAAGGCAAGGGGGATTTGACCCTTGGTCAGACTATCCAAAACACTTTGGGCACTGCAGGGCACTGCGGATTACAACACAAGACATTCTGGTTCTTGCCCTGAGGGTTTGCAGTCCACCCTCTTGTACTTAATTCATCCATTCTGCCTCTGTCTCATTCACTTAATCATGTACTCAAGGAAACATTAACTGAGTAGCTATTCTATACCAGGCCCCTGAGATACAAAAATGAATGTCATTATCCTTACCTTCCAGAAGCTCAGATGTGTTTGGACAAGTAGACAGATGCCCCCTGCCCAGTATGATCAGTGCCAAGAAATGTGCTTGGGAGGGCTCCTATCCCAGCCTGAGTGGAGCAAGGATCAAGGAAGGCTTCCTGGAGGAGGTGGTGTCTAAGGTGAGCCAAGGCTTCAGCCCCTACTCCCCTTACTGGCTACGCCCTGGAGCCTTGCTTATTTACCCCTGTAGCTAGGATTTACTTCCCCTTCATTCTCACTCTTCCCACTTGTTGCAGATTAATTGACACAAGGCAGTGCTGCCGAAGGTGGACACCTGGGCTGTTTTGAGGGGTGTGATCATGCAGGCCTGAGCTCCAAAACCCTAATTCATTGGTGCAGTGAGTAGTAGATCCAAGTCCCAGTACAGAGCTGGCATTTGACCCAAATCAAATCTTTTACAAACTCCAGAAGCCCAGGTATTAATTTACACAGAGAAATAGATCTGTCAGGCAAACCTGAATTTTTGTGTCACAGGTCAAGGCAGTTTGGGCTGCTCCTTGGGAAGCCCAGTTACCAGGTGAGCAGTGAGCCTGGAACACTCAGGATGGGAGAGGGGATGGTATGGCAAGTCTCTCAGCCAAGAAACCTTGAGATCTTGTCCTCCTCCACAGGGCAGCTTTGATACGAAGGACTCAGTTTAGCCTAGTGTCTCTATGACCAGCCCAAATGTTTCCCCCAGCTGCCATGGGGTGCCTCTTTTTGTGCTCTCTCTTCTGTTCACAGAGCCTTTCTCTAAGCCAGGTTTAACAATAGCAACTACTTCCTTAGTGCCAGACACTGTTGTAAATATTTTACCTTTATTAACTCACTTAATACAATTGGGATTTCTGCTCATACAACTAGGGTCCTAGCCTAGCCCCACCCACTTGGAAAGCGCCCCCCCCCCCCCAGCCACCACCTTGATGGCCTTTAGTTGGTTCCTAAACACTCCAGTCACACATTTACAGCCCAATCATCTTGGATTTACTCCCATATCTGTTCTGGGTGGCTTTTTATAACTCTTAGGGGACAACCTTATTTCCAGGTTCTTGGGAAAAACTCACTCTTCAGCCTCACAGACATTTCTAGAGCTTGTATCTTCCATGCCCACCCTTTCAGGGACCCTCTTCAAGCCTAGGGGTAACAGAGCTCCTGGTTACCAGTCTCACAAAGCCACTCACCTTTGTGGTTTCCCTACTCTCTGCCCACTTCTTTGGGAAATACTTTTCTTAAGTTCTCTTCACATTATTGTAATTAGAGTTCTTCTCTCTTTCTTGCTAGGGACCCTGATTCCTGCACAGAAAACAGCATCCATCCAGGCATCCAACTTTCCTCCTTTAGGAAAGGAGTCAGCAAGGGAGAACCTTGGTCAGTGGTTTCCAGGCTGACCCTGCCAGTGGCAGCATCGCAGACACACTGGACTATTACTATAGTAATGCAGACAAAAGATGATGCGGGCCTGAGACAAGGCTGGGCCAACAGGCTGGAGAGAAGTAAATCTGGGAGTTTATGGAGATAGAATAGACAGGAATGGCAACCAACAAGATGCAGGATTTGAGGTAAGAATCAACTCCTATGTTTAAAAAATAGATTCTTGGAGTGAGCAGTTAGCTCAGTTGGTTACAGCGTAGTGCTGATAACACCAAGGTTGCCGGTTCAATTCCCACATGGGCCACTGTGAGCTGCGCCCTCCTTAAAAGAGTCAACTATGCCATTGTAGCATGAAAGCAATGTGTAACCAATGACCATGGCTGTTCCCCAACAACAACAAAAATAGATTTTACTCCACTTCCCTCACCAGCTATTGCCCCATTTCTCTGCTCATCTTTGCAGCAAAACTCCTCAAAACCATACCAGTTGCCCGAAATCCAACTTTTCTTCTTAAACCTCTAGCCAATCTCGACTTCACACTCCACTGAAACTAATCAAGGTCATCAAAGACCTAATGGTTATTCTCAGTCCTCTCACTCACTCTACCGGTAGCATTTGACCAAGCTGGTCACTCCTTTCCCTTGCATACTTTCTTCACTTGCACTGGGGAGAATACAGTCTCCTGGTTTCCCTACTACTTCGCTCCAGTAATTTTTTCCCCCCAAAGATTTTATTGGGAAATTGGGGGAGGGTAACAGCACTGGGGAATCGGGGAAGGGGAACAGACAAGTTGCTGTCCTTTTATTCTTCAGTCTAGTTGTGGAGGACGTTGCTTCACTGGCCCATGTTGGTATTATCATTGCGCTCTTCCCGGATGAGGCAGATTGGTCGCCAGCCACTGGACGGCTGCTCACAGTGGCCCTTGGCAGCTCACACCGGCTGCTGGCCACTCACCCCAGCTGCCAGCCACCCACGGTAGCTTATGGCAGTCCACTGCAGCAGGGGCTGCAACCTACGCCATCGCCGGTGACTCACGGCAGTCCAGCTCCAGGTCAAGCTGTTGTTCACCATCTTAGCTGTAGAGGGCGCAGCATCACTGGACCCTCATGTGGGATCCAAACCGGGGCTCTGCTGCTCAGAGCTGGCGTCCCAAGCCAGCTCCTAACCAACATGCCACTCAGCCGGCCATCTCCAGTAATTCTTAACACTACAGTGACTACACTTTGTGGGCCTCTTGTCTTTTCTATCCATGTTCACTCCTTCAATGAGTTCACCCAGACTCATGGCTTCAAACACCATCCCTCTGCCAAAACACCCAAATTTTTTATCTCTAGCCCAGTGCTTTCTCTAAAACTCCACTCTCACGTCTTTCTCCTTGACTTCTCCCCCTGGATCTCTCATAGATATCTATAACCCAACATGGCCAAGATTGAATTTCTGATCTTGACCCCCACACCTGTTGGTACTTGGCAGCCTTCCTCATCTCTGGTGATAAGGACTTTTCTCCAGTTGCTCAGGTCAAAAACTGGAGCCATCCTTGACTCTCCTCGTCATCTTTTTTTTCTTTTTTTTTTTAAGACTTTTATTGGGGAATTGGGGAAGGGGAACAGACAAGTTGCTGTCGTTTTGTTCTTCAGTCTAGTTGTGGAGGACGTTGCTTCACTGGACCACATTGGCACCATCATTGCACTCTTCCCGGGCGAGGCAGATAGTCGCCGGCTTCTGGATGGCCGCTCACTGCGGCTGCTGGCCGCTCATGCTGACTGCTGGCTACATACAGTAGCCCAATGGCGACCCACTGCCACAGGGGCTGCAGCCTATGACGTCGCCAGTGACTCAGGGCAGCCCAGCTCCAGGCTGAGCTGTTGTTCAGCATCTTAGCTGTGGAGGGCAGTGTCACTGGCCCTCATATGTGGGATCCGAACCGGGGCCCTCTGGCGTCCCAAGCCAGTTCTTAACCATCTCGCCACTTGGCCGGCCCCCCCAATAAAATCTTTAAGAAAAAAAAAATACATCTACATATAATAAAATCCATATGGTGAGATTTCTTCTAAGTAACACTTCTTAAATGTCAGTGTATATATAAATTACCTGGGGATCTTGTTAAATGCAGATTTTAATTCTGTAGGTCAGGAGTGGGACATGAAATTCTGCATTTCCAACGAGCTCTCTGCTGGTCCACAGGCTACACTTTGGGTAAGAAGGCTCTCAGCATATTTAGGGATGCATGTATAATGATAAAACTAGTTTTCTTTTTAAACAAAAGGTTAAAATAAACACAAATGAAGTAGTCCCGGTGACGTTTTCTTAAACTGGCTGCTGGGTTCATAATTATTCATTGTACTTATAACTTACATGTTACGTGTTATTATTTTCCATATATTATTACATTTAAAAAGACAATGAAAAGCATACAAAAATAAAACAAAATGATCAGCGAAGAAGCTAGGTGGCGTCAAAGGCTTGGACAAATGAGGTTAGCCATGCAGCGCCACACTCGGATATCATCTACGTAGCTGAAAGAGTTAACTTTGTTAACTCAATACTCGGTAACCAGAAATCCACCCCGTCAAGATAATTCGTTTGAGTCCATACTAAAGGGTCTGGGCTTGTACCTACTATCCAAGTTTTTCGTATTTGATGGGTTTTATTAATCAACTGGCATTCCTGTTAATACATATTTCCAGGCGGCTCCCGCGGAGATCACGATTCTGTGCGTGTAGGAATCGGCCCGGGAACCAGTATATCGTAGGTTCGCTGCAGCCCAGGCCCATTGGCAGGCAAAAACTGCTCCGCCTTCCGGGTGAAAGACCTGGCGGTGGAGTGAGAGGGGACACCAGATCAGCCCCTGGGTCGGTCTGCTCCGGGGATTCCCCCACAAGATGGAAAGAACCCAACGGTCAGTTAAGTACAGTAAATCCAAACAAGCGCTGTCTTCCCTCTTCCCGGCAACTAACTTCTCAGCTCTAGTAGGGGAGACTCTCCAGGGAGTCCCTGAAAGGCAGAACTCTGAATGAGAGAAAATGATTACGGCGCTAGGGGAAACGTTCCTGGAAACTGAAAACCACGTGGACGAGCCTCGCTCGGCTCTCCCAACCCTCACCCCAACCCTCGCCCCAGGCCTCTCGCTATTGCTTTTCCGCCCCTAGCCTCAGCAAACCGGAAGAGGAGAAACACGACTACACTTTGGAGGCGTGGCCCCACTTTGACCAATGGAAATCGGGGGCGTGGTTTTTAACCTTTCTTTCATTGGCCCAAGGGCGGCCCTTCGCGAGGCGGAAGTCGTACGGGTGCTGAAACGCGTTCTTAGCCTTGGGTCTAGCGGCTCACGCGGTAACCATCATGGTGCGGAAGCTTAAGTTCCACGAGCAGAAGCTGCTGAAGCAGGTGGACTTCCTGAACTGGGAGGTCACCGACCACAACCTGCACGAACTGCGTGTGTTGCGGCGTTATCGGTTGCAGCGACGCGAGGACTACACGCGCTACAACCAGCTGAGCCGTTCTGTGCGCGAGCTGGCGCGGCGCCTGCGCGACCTGCCGGAGCGTGACCCGTTTCGAGTGCGCGCCTCGGCTGCGCTGCTGGACAAGCTATATGCTCTCGGCCTGGTGCCCACGCGCAGCTCGCTCGAGCTTTGCGACTTCGTCACGGCCTCGTCCTTCTGCCGCCGCCGCCTGCCCACCGTGCTTCTTAAGCTGCGCATGGCGCAGCACCTCCAAGCTGCAGTGGTCTTCGTGGAGCAGGGTCACGTGCGCGTGGGCCCCGACGTGGTCACCGACCCCGCCTTCCTTGTCACGCGCAACATGGAGGATTTCGTCACCTGGGTTGATTCGTCCAAGATCAAGCGGCATGTTCTGGAGTACAATGAGGAGCGCGATGACTTCGATCTGGAAACCTAATGGATCTTCCCTCCCTCCCTCCGCCACGGCTGCATTTTATAGCTGGGGAAGCTGAAACCTGATGCTGGAGAGTCTGTGGAGGCGCTCTCCCCGAGTGTGTCAGCCAGTCGTCGGTTCATAAGAACTTAGTTCCTCAGCTGCATGGCACGCACGGAGCCAAAGGGTATGCTCCTGTTTTCCACGAAATTTTCTTAGCCCTTGGACTATTGATAATTAAATAACTGTTTTGAGACAGTGGGAAGCGGTTTTGTGCTGCGGTGGGGAATCATTAGATTATTGTGCCTGAAACATTGTAAGGTGAAAGCAAGAACTTTGCGGGAAACTCCCCCTCCCGCCGACCCCCCCCCCCCGTCTGGCTTACGTTATTATCTCGTAGCAGGACAGTTTGGTTCAATTTCTTTAAACTCGAATTCTTGCTCCTTTTCACGATTAAGGTGTATGTGTATAGACGATGGAGAACTTGGTCTCAAGTTTTCATAAAATGGGTGAGACTTTAGTGTTCAGCATCCTGTCATTTGTTTAAAGGAATGCTTTCCTAATGCCAATAAATGTCCCAACTGCTTTGTAAATACAAATCTTTGCCTTTCTGGTTTTCTCACATAGGGTCCACATGTGTGGGTCTCCTTGGCTTAGGAACCCAAAAAAGAAAATAGGGTCAGCAGCGACCTGCCCATGGCTGGGTGAGGTGAGGCCTGTAATGAGGGCCCCAGTTGGAGGTTGCAGGGTGTTGTACAACGCGTCGGTTTACCGGTCCCTTCCTCCGTGTGAGAATTTTGGCAGAGCTCTTCCCCACAGGACTTCTTGTTGATATTCCAGTGGAGGAAATACCACATTAGAGGGCTGAAGTGTTTGCTTGCCTAAGGAAATAATCACCTTGTAGCTTGGCCATCTAGCAGTTAGAAGTGGCCCAGGAGCTTCCTGGAAACTTAGCTGTTCTTAGGAGTGGTCCAGAATAGGAAGGAAGAGTAGGGAGACACCTTGTTTTACACAGGACTTCTGTAAGAACACCAACTAGAACGCCAAGACCAGAGAAACAGTTTTTCGATGTGCGCTCTTCATCTCGGGTGTGAGGCAGCTTTTGGTGAAGAAACAAGGGAAGTGACACTGGGGATGATGATAGCAAATGCTTATACTACTACATGTCAGGCAAGGTTTTAAATGCTTTACTTGTCTTAACCATTTAATACTCCTATGAAGTAGGGAATCTGATTACTGTGTTCTCTACTTTTCAGATGGGGGAGCTGGAATCATGCTCCTTTAACCCTCCATAGGGCGCAACTATCTCACAGATTCATTGCACACCAAGATTCCGCTATGAAATACGTCTTTACTGTACTAAGTCACAAAAATGACTGGCGATAGGTTACGGTACAGGGGGAAGATGCGGAAGCGATGAGTCACGATAAGTTAACTGTTAGATATTTGAAAATTTGTGTGCAATGAATCTGTGAGATCAGTGGCGCCCGACAGATGGTTAGGAGACTGTCGACATTGGGATTTGTCAGGGTTTAGAGAGTCCCTGAATTTGAGTTTTCAAGCCAGCAGAGAAGCAGCAGCACGAGGCAATGTGAGTGGCCCCTGACCGGATGTGGGAAGGTGTGAGCAAAGCGCAGGCCTTGGGCTACCAGGGCCTGACTCACTCCTTGAGGCCCTGCCTGTGTCAGGCTGCCATTTGCTCTTCCCAACAACCCTATACGGCAGATGGTGCTATCCACACTTTTTCGTTTGGGAAACAATTGGGACCAGAATTTGTCCAAGGCTGGCATTCAATTCCAGGCTCCTGTGACACCAAAGGCCATGTTCTTTTCAGGGCCATCCCTTAGAAATGAAAAGAAAAAACCCAACTGTTCAGCTCTGGTGGCTGAGCTCTGCCCATTTGAGGGGTGTTCTCAGGGCTCCCAGGACTAGGGATCTCATGGAAGGAGAGTTTGGTGGCTCTAGAAGGCAGGACCCTCCTGCAGCCTTCTGGCTCCCTCCCACCAGTCCCCCCAGAGCAAGGCAGGTAGACCAGCCAGCTCATTTGGAGTGGTTGGAGCCTGCACCTATAACCCAAGCACATGCAACTTCAAAGTTCCTGATGGAAACTGGGTTTAGGATCTTAGGGATAAAATACGAGTCTACTTTCTCCCTTTTTGGGAAGGTGTAAAAGAAATGACTTACCAGAACTTGTAGCCAGAAACTTTGGGCTTTAAAAACTACCCAAGCTGGCCGAGTGGCTCAGTTGGTTAAGAGCTCACTCAAGAGTGTGAGCTCTGAGCGACAGGGTCACCAGTTCGATTCACGGCCTGAGCTGAGCTGCCGCTGAGCTGCCAACAGGTGGCAGGGTGGCTCAGCCAAAAAGAAAAAAACTACTCAAGACAAGTGATTGAGAAATTAGGCTCTGGAGCCTGACAGTCTGCTTTAGGGCTTCTATACTTAACTCGCTGTATAACATTGATTATTTTGCTCAGCCTCTCTCTACTTCCATTTTCCTCATTACAGATAGGTGGGGATATGGGATGGGGGGAAAGAATATGGGGAGTCACTGCTTAATGGGTACAAAATACCTGTTTGGGGCAATGAAGACATTTTGGAAATGGTGAAGGTTGTGAATGCAATGTGTGAATGTGGTTAGCTAAAATGGCAAGTTTTGGAGAAAAATTATTTTAGTAAGATATTTAAGGACTCAAAAATGTTAACAAAACATAAAATGGTACCAGTAGTATCCCATTTTTCCAAAGATAAATGTAGGCATAGAAAAAATAATGGGTATAATATTGTCTCTTTCTGGCACTAGTAATACTGGCACTGTTACTCTTTTTCTTTGTGCTTTTCAGTATTTTCTGACTTTTCTATGAAGACAGTGCATTACCATACGAAATATAATTTTGTATGATCTCAATTAAGCTGAGGCTTATACATGTGGTAAGTTTTGGGAAAAGAAACACTTAGCTTTAAAAAGCACTGTCCCTGGCTGGCCAAGTGGTGCGGTGGTTAAGAATTGGCTTGGGACGCCAGAGGGCCCCGGTTCGGATCCCACCTATGAGGGCCAGTGACACTGCCCTCTACAGCTAAGATGCTGAACAACAGCTCAACCTGGAGCTGGGCTGCCGAGGCAGCATAGGCTGCAGCCCCTGCTGCAGTGGGTTGCCATGGGCTACTGTGTGTAGCTAGCAGCCAGCATGAGTGGCCAGCAGCCGCAGTGAGCGGCCGTCCAGAAGCCGGAGACTGGTCTGCCTCGCCCGGGAAGAACACAATGATGGTGCCAACTTGGGCCAGTGAAGCAACGTCCTCCACAACTAGAGTGAGGAACACAAAAATAGCGACAGCAACTTGTCTGTTCCCCTTCCCCCAATTCCCCAATTAAAAAAAAAAAAAAAAAAAACCTTAAAAAAAAAAAAAGTTAAAGTTTGAAAAAGTGCCCTTGATAACACTTCAGCCTTTTCCAAATTAAATAGGCATTTTAACCTGGAATATTTAAGCAATTGTTGTTTCTAACTGTTGAGTCTGAACACTGGCTCCATCTTTTTATTAACTACTTGACCTCAAATAAACTACCTCCCACCTGAGAGCTTCTTTGCTCTTCTGTGAAATGGTGATAATAGGAAGAGTAAGAGAGACCACATACACACACACACACACAAACTTGGCAGCATGTTTTAACTCAAAGTGCTCAGTAAGTGTTTATCAAAAGCAAAACCAAAACATGTGAGATCAGCGCTCCTCTGAGCATGCTCTGGGAAGCAGAGCTCAGATGGAGGAGCGCTGGCTCCTCAGCATGGCGTTGCAGGGACTTCTGGGTCTTGCCTACTCCATACCTCATTTCTAGCTGCCTTCACTACATCTGCACATCCCTTCATCTCTCAGCCTGGGCTGTCTGCCTGTGCTTTGTATTCTGGCAAACTTCAGCCCTGGCATTGCCCCCCACCCCATCCCCATTCTGTGAAATCTTGCCCTACAACATGGCATCCTCTATGTGCTACCTTTATAAGGAGTGGGTGACTTGGCTTCACTCCCAAGGTTATGAGCTCCCCCAGGACCGTGGGCCTAGAAATCACAGCTGTCTCCTTGCGACTTGCAGGATGCCTGGTTCACTTATTCCTTCATTAGCCTAGTGTTTATTGAGTACTTACTATGCCTGGTGCTTGACACACAGCAGTGAACAAAGTGGACATGGCTCTGGACCTCTTGTAACTTACAGTTAAGAAAGTGAGACTTTAAGAAAGAGTCGCCTAAATCGAAATATACATTATGGTAAGTGCTATGGAAGCGAAATGCAGAGTGATATGAGCACAGGAGGGATCTACTGTGGCTGAGAAAGTAACATTTGAAACAATAGCTGACAGATTAAGCAGAGATTCAGAGGTCAGGGCGAACCTGGAGAAAGTGAAATTTAAGACCTGGAGATAAACATGAATCCAGCAGAATGTAGGGAGAAGAACACACCAGGCAGAAAAAACAATGTGCAAAAGCCCTGTGGTAGAAAGATGTGAGTGATCTAGAAACAGAAAGCCAGTGTGGCTGGAGCACAGTGAGGCAGCGGACAGATGACCCAAGGTAAACCACAGCCAGATCCTGTAGGCCTGGCGAGGACTTCGAATTTTATTCTCATTATAGGGAGCAGGCACTTAGGGGGTTTAAACATGGCAGTGACTAATACGTTTTGAAGACCATTTTGGCTATTGTGGAAATTAGATGTGGACCTGCCTGCATGGATGTGTGTGGGTGGCAGTGAGAAGGCTTTTTCTGAGTCTGCCAGGTGAGAAACATGGCGTAGATCAGGATGGTGGCGGTGGAGCTGGAGAGAAATAGGATTTGCAGTCTGTTCTGGAAGTTGTAGTGGATACTCTTGGCACCCTACCCAGATGCCCTTTGCCTAGCCAGGGTACCCATTCCCCAGGTGCTGTGAGTGTTGGCTGCCTCCCTTCTCTGGGGAATTACCTCTGCTGACTTGAGCCTCCTCACCTGAGCAGTTACACCTATCGCCACCACCACTTACCGCCACCAATGACTGACTGATTTGAGGGACAAAAGGTCAAGCCTCTTGGCGTCAAGACAGGGCAACCGCGTGGCAGAGTACCTGTGGATCAAACAGAGCCTGGACTCTGCCGGAGACTACATCAAAGCTCTGCTCTTTCCTCTTCCCGATCATGCTTCCTCACCCCTTTGGAGGTTTCTCCTGAAGGGCACCTCCTTGATAAATCACTTGTTCTCCAATTCCTGCCTCAGGGAACATCACCTAATACAGAGGAGGTCTGAGGCAGGTGACAAACATGTCTCCCTCTCTCTGTCCAGTTGTTCAAGACATAGTACCTACTCAGCAAAAGTTAAGGTGCCCACATTAGTGTCTGGAAGCCCTCTGATGGACTAATTGTCCAGTGAGATCCAAGTGACTCTGGCTGGATCTGGAGAATCAAAATTATAGGACCAAACAGACCAGGAAGCCTTGCAGATGAAAGTGGGCTACATCCTGCCTGAGGCCTGCTGCCTCCATGACCTCCTTGGGATTTTCCATGTGAGCTATGTCAAGGTAAAAATTTCTCTGACCACAGTAATTATCAGCAGCTGAGGGTCAGGGCTGAGCAAGCCAGAGGAG